ACAAAAACTGTAAATATTTTTTTTAACAATAATAAATTTGTAAATTAGTCTCCGTAAAACAGAAGATCTTGTATCCGGTGTCTTATTTTGCTGGAGAGTGCAAATAACTGCCGAAGGTTATGTCCTCGGGGTAACCCGGGATGTGACAAACCTTGTTGTCAATGGCGTGATAACAGAGATCGACAAATATCACCAAATATTGTCATAACTTTTTTTCACTGAGCCAATTCGGCACATATTTCATGTAATTCTCACCCCACGCATACACCACAAGCCTGTAGAGTAAGAATTTTTGAAAGATAAGTATCCCCAAGACACCCATATGACCCTCAAATACCATGGTGGTAAAAAACATCTACTTCGCTGCTCGGAGTTATTTTGGGGGCATGGCTACAAATGTACTTCCATAGCAGGAGTAACAGTGCTATTTTGTGGGCGTGGCTGCTCGGAGTGAACTAGTTAAATCATCATCAAGGTAATATGAACCAAATGGAAAGAAACTCACAGGATTCACATGTTACTTCTATTTTTAGACTGATTGCATTGTGTACTTAAACCTCAGTGCTATTTTGTTAAGTGTAAAAATTTCATTCCAAAACAAGGTTAAAGAGTTTGCCAATATCAAACTTGGCTCGCCAAGTCTTTGCCAACAGGAACACAGCCTGTCAAAGGAAAAAAACAGAAATTACATCTTGGGCTTATACAATGGCTTCATGCAGCATTCAAGAATAATTTTACAAATTTAATTTTCTTCGTGTAGTATGAAGCTGAGATATTGAACAGTGTCTGATTAAGGCCTTGAAAGAATGTTAAAGTGTGGACATTGTTGCTAACTAATGGAAACCACCTCAGGCTAAAAACATCTTTGATCTGTGACATACTTTGCACTTCAGTAGAATTTGTCAGACCTGAAGATTGAAGTTTAGCATATTCTTACTATAAAGCTCAATTACTACATATGTATCTACTTTATGATGTCCTCTGATGTTAATACATTTCACAGCATGACATCCAAGTCTCTGAAGGTGGGGATATTTGCCTGACATCAAAATAATTGGCTCTCTCTGCAGCTTGTATAAAAAACACTTTAATGAGTTCTCAAATATTGATTTTATGGTAACCACGGCAATCGTAGACCAAATATCCAGTTCTTTTGATGTTCTCTAGATGTTCTCTAGAGCAAAATTAATAGCAAGGTCATCAAAAATAAAAAAAAACTACGGTATTTCCAGTAATTGGCAGTGATGGACCCAACACTGTGATGAGGTAGGGAGGGAACAGAGTCTAAATTTCACTGATCCAACAGCATCTAAAAATGATACTGTCTAAGGGCNCCCTTTCATGATATCCTTCATGAATCCAATCACAACTCCTTTCACAAGTTACAGGATGCACAATGCCAAAGGACTGCTCTTATTACAACTTATTTGAATGGCTTCTGACTTGGCTTAGAGACATATAATGATGGACATGTGATGGACTGGCAAGGACTTGTGATGGACTTGACTACAACATTGCTTTCATGTTGTTATCCGGTTCGTTAGTGACTTCATCACAAAGGCGGACACACCACGATTTGCAGGCTCCCACTGGACGATCGCTGAAGTTGTGTTAACTTCCGGTTCCATGTACATGGCTATCAATGCCTGTACATGTAACTGTATGTGCAGTGCTTGTGCAGTAGGCATGGTTTAAACCAAAATGACATCATACTTACGAACCAGATAAACAAGAGTCTAAAGATGGGCACTTTTTTCTAGAAAAATGATAATTAGCATTCCGCTGCTGGTATGCCAAAGTTATGTTTGACTGTGTTCTCCACTGACCTGACTTTTATGGTAACCATAGTAATGGCAAGCACTATTCACCGAGTACCATCTGTACTAAGTATGATTGCAGCAGTTTAAAGGTTTGTAGATGTCTACTTAGGAAAAATTCT